TCCCTTCACACTGCTCAAAATTCCAGAGAACGAAGAAACAAGATTAAAGATTTTTTTAAAAAAAAATACCCACTTACATATTGCACCAAACATTCTAAAATTAATCAGCCAATTGATTGTTGACACTTGAACCTGAGTATGATTCTGTGTTACAATTTGTTATAAAACAGATCAACATGCTGAGCACAGAAGGTAAAATGGAAAGTGTAATAAAGGACTCTCCGAAAGTCTACATCGCATGTTTTAATCAACAGTATAAATAATACAAATTGAATAAATAAGTGAATAAATAAATTTAATGTCTTATCTAAATATTCAGCAATTTCATTATTTAACATACACTCCTTCTGTGAGGAAGATGTTTATCCACTTTCTTCTTCGGGGTCATTAATGGTTCATTCCCACATTCTGTAAAATACTTACATGTAGGCACACTAATACTTAAGGGTAAAACTGGGTGGAGAACCAAGGGCACTGCTACTCTTTACACTCTGCATAATTGGGAAATGACTAGTGCTGAAGTAAACTCTTTCAGAGTGCAGACTGAGGTCAGACAACAGGCTGCGGCATTATAAGCCCAGAAGAGCAAAGGCTAGTTCCCCAATTAAAGTTAAGTGATGACTTGGCTTCAGGAGCACCCTCCTACCATTTGCACAACTTTCAAAGCACCAAAAGATGCCAGATGCAGCACACTTCTCCCCTGCCCCTGTTCTCCCCCCCCCCACCGCCACGCCGCAAAAATATATATAGAGGCCCTTAATATATTAAATATTTGAGCAATAAAATACGTAAATTTTCAGTTAAGAGAGGAAAGGACAAGAAAGGATTTCAAACACAGTATACAATTGTGTCACAATGTATTTTTCCCCATCTCCCACCCAAAATCAAAGCCATAATAAAGACAGCAAGAACTGACAAATACCAGTCCAATTTCAATGTAAGATTGTTGTTATAGCTTAGTTACTGATCAGGTTCATGCTAGAATACAACATTTTGTGCTGGGGGGTTTCCCCCCCCCTACCCTCCCTCCCTTGTTCCCTTCCTTCCTTCCTTTCCTTCTTTCTTTATTAAAGCTATAATCAATCATTATAAATATAAAATTTATATTTTAACATTTCTCTTAAGAACCTTGCATTTTGGTGTGTTCTGGTCACCAGTCACATTTTTCTCCAGTAGAATATATATCACCTGCTCAAAAATGTCTTTCTCCAGTTTGAAATATTCTTTATGTATTTTAAAGAAAATTACATAAACAATTCCATTGAACCACCACAAGGAAAAGCATCAGCATAAATACTACCAGAAATATATTTAGGACATGGCCCTAAATTGGCTGGATACACAAAATAACAAATAACAAAATTTGCTGCAGTGCAGTTTCTTACTTTGGACTATATACCAAGAATGCTATTGAATGGGCAGGCTCAAGCCCTCAGTCCAAGCTACACCAGGAATGGATGAGCCACCATACTTGAGAACCAACTAAATGGGTCTCACATGAGCTCCATTAGGAATCCGCAGGCCTCTTGTGAACACAGCTCTCTGCAAGGGCAGCCAGTGACATGACACTCCTGCGTTCAGAGCATCATGTGGAGTGAGAGTGAGGAATGCCACTGGCTCTAATAAGAGATATTTGGTATTCATAGTACTTTTCATAAGTCACAGCTCTGTACATACATTTAAGTCCCCTTGGATAATAGCTTCATGTTCTACCAAACACAAAACTCCTTCTCTGGGTCCTTTCTAGCAATCTGGAGGGTAAGGGCACTTGAGAACAAACTTTCTGAAGCAGGATTGGTCATTGCTTCTAAGCAGGGCTGGATTTAGGTTTGACGAGGCCCTAAGCTACTGAAGGTAATGGGGCCCTTTATATGTCCAGCTGTCCTTTGTCAACAACAAATTGTCGCTGTTTTTTGTGTTGAATATATGCTATACAGTGGTGCCTCGCAAGACGAAATTAATTCGTTCCGCGAGTTTTTTCATCTTGCGGTGTTTTTCGTCTTGCGAAGCACGGTGTCGGAAAAGTTTTGGAAAAGCTTCAAAAATCACCAAAGTCTTCAAAAACCTCAAAAAAGGCTACCACACCGCGTGCTATGAGTTGCTCCTCGAAGTCAAGTCGCAACTGTATTAAAGGTTTTAAGAAAAAGGAAACAAACTTGCAAGACGTTTCCGTCTCGCGAAGCAAGCCCATAGGGAAAATCGTCTTGCAACGCAACTCAAAAAACCAAAAACCCTTTCGTTTTGCGAGTTTTCCATCTTGCAAGGCATTCGTCTTGCGAGGTACCACTGTATAGCAGGGACATCCAACTCCCAGGAGGCTGTGATCTACTCACAGAATGAAAAACTGGCAGTGATCTACCCATGCGGGGGGGGGGTCGTAGTTGTTGAGCTTTTTTTAGGGAGGGCAGACATAATTGTCGACCTTTTGGGGGGGTTCAGGTCGAAGTTACTAAGCTTTTGTTAGGGAGGAAGGTCGGAATTTTTGACATTTTTTAGGGAGGAGGGTCTAAATTGGGGGGGGCAGCGACAAAGATGATAAACAATAAGTCATTTTTGGGGGGCCTCCAAGAGAGTGAGTCCCTAAGATATAGCTTGTTTAGCTTATACGTAAATCTGGCACTGCTTCTAAGTAACAGATTTACCCATGTGCTCTCTCTTTCCAAGGGTTGTGTGCACCAGTGAGGAAACAGGCGTTTCAGAGAAATGTTTCCATATGTTTATACCGTGGTACCTCGGGTTAAGAACTTAATTCGTTCCGGAGGTCCTTTCTTAACCTGAAACTGTTCTTAACCTGAAGCACCACTTTAGCTTATGGGGCCGCCGGGCCGCCGCTGCGCAATTTCTGTTCTCATCCTGAAGCAAAGTTCTTAACCTGAGGTACTATTTCTGGGTTAGCGGAGTCTGTAACCTGAAGCGTCTGTAACTTGAGGTACCACTGTAATTGCTCACTGTAATTTCACTGAAACATGAAAAATGTATTTATTGGTTGAGCCATCAGTAAGAGTCACACTCTGAAAGGTGACTAAAGGGAAATGGAGATTGGGGTGGACCTTGGTGATATGCTGCCCTGTGCAAGGCCAACATCTGACACCCTCCCCGCTAGCCCTCTTGATGCCAGCTTAAGCTGAGCTTTGGGGAGGAGGCATGAGGCTCTGGCAGGGTCCTAGAGCCCTTCTATCCCCTTCCCAAAGCCTGGTAAGCACTTGCCTGGCTTTGGGAATGAGGAAGGAGGACTCTAGGACCCTGTCAGAGCCCTCATGGCTCCTTCCCAAAGCTGCTTGCCTGCATCCCCAGTGTGGCCACACACACCGCTCACACTGCCCTCAATCCATCTCTGTGAAGATCCACCGAGAAACAGCAGATCATTCAAACTCAGCACTAAAACCTTTATAAATTCTAGTGGGTGTGTAGAAGTCACTGATAAAGTTGTCCATGCCATCTGCTGAACAAAAATTCCCTTTAACCAAGTTTTAACTGAACATCAGAATCGGCATAGCGCTAAAATAGTTTCCCCTCTGACTAACAGGACTCACCGAATCGTAAAGGAAAACCGCAGCATTTTCCAGTTCAGTCCATGATATGGAATGTGGATGTCGTACGGTTTATTTTATAATGATGATTTATTATCGAGGGGGAAATAAGGGTTCAGGCAGAGACATATTTTCTAAAGGATTTATTGTTCACCAAAATGGCTTGTTTTGAAGAAACAATTCTTCTCTCTCTTTCTCTTTCTCTCTGTTTTTTTTGGCAGTTCCCTGTGGCTCCATCACAGGCTTGCTTTCATCTACAGTTCTCTTTTCATTTTATAGCAGGCATTTAAAATTTTTCTCCCCTCTGTTACCTGCTGCTTTCCCTGTTCTGCCATGTAAGGATTTTGAGTATCAGTATTCACTACTATATGTTGGTATTCTGGTAATGATACTACATTGAACTAGGCTCTGGATGGTTTTTTTAAAAAACAATTCATGGCAGAATCATGGTTGAAGATTGGGACTCAACGATCACTCGAACAATACAGGAAAGGGTTGCTCTGGCAGTTAGTGTGATAAGACTGGTTGTATCCCAGAGAACTTGGGAAATAGCAGATGAGACATTTCAGTTGCAGGAGTTGCATCAGTGGCAGCAGAGGAGAGACTGAAAGTCGCCCTTAAATATTTTCAAATCAAAGTTGCAAAAAGCAGTGTAATTTCAAAGCATTTTCCTTAGTTACTTTTCTAATAGTTTCACATAGCAACATTATCAACACAGATTGAGGTATATTTACATTATTTTTAATCAAAAGTAACCTATCACCAATAGGTGTCAAAGGCATTATGTAAAGCAGTCAAATAATTCATAACATAATATTAATCTGACTACAAAATTACGTTTTAAGCAAGCAAACAAACAAACCCTAAATACTGGGGGGGGGGGGACAAAATTCAACCAGTCACTCTCATTTTTAAGCAAATTAAGGTGGGCCTTAGACAGGGCCATTCCTACCAGCTGACAAAGTGAGCTGGCTGCCTCAGGCAACTTATTTGGGGTATCTGGAAAGGGCAGGAAATTGTTTGTTTGTGGGATTTTCTGCCAGGAGGTGTTTGTGGGATTTTCTGCAACTTCTTATTATGCACTCCTGAGGTTGAAAAATGGCTTGGCTTGGCACTGGCCTTTGGCATTCATACCTATTAGAATATAGGCCCATTTCATTTTTTTTACAATGATAAGTCATTAAATTTAAAGAACATGGTTTGTATTTAAGGGTCATAATCGTGATAGGAAATCTTCCAATATGGGAAGCTGAGTATTGCCAGAGCCAGTGGTCGAGGATATTATATATATATATATATATATATCCCAATAAATCATATAATCTACATCTTTCTTTTCCTATGAAAAGACGTCTATGTGATGCAGCCTGGAAATATTATATCTGAGGTGAATGTGGTTCAATGTGCATAATACATGTGCATCCATAAAATATGGATAATAGTCATCTATAGTACAGTCATATATGAGGAAGGACCATAGCTCAGTGGCAGAGCATGTGCTTTGCATGCAGAAGGTTGCAGGTTAAATCCCTTGTCTGAAACCCTAGAGAATCACCTTCCACTGTGGCAAGATTCCCAGGGCTTCCACTAACCATGTGGGAGACCACCATCAAAAGAGGAAACCCTCAAGACATCACATTGCTGAGAGCTTCCTCAGCAGTGGAGCTGGCCATGATCACCAGGCATAATTTTGAGGAATGCTTTACAGCAGAGCAGGACTACTGCTGACCCATGGTTTTTCCATGCTGCATTGGTCCTGCTCTAGGAGATACAACCTCTCACATTCCTGTTTTTCATGAAGCGCAGTTAGCAAAGCATGGGCAAGTACCAGTGAAGATGTGCCTTTAGGGCAACCCCTACCACATTTGTGTGTGTGTAAATATACACACACTCTTTTTCTTCTTCTTTGGCAATCACTCGTAGCCGAGTAAGATTGTCTTCCATAAACATGGTATTAACAATGAGTCTGTAAGTTAACTCAAAGTGACTGGAGGCCAATTCTGGACCCACAAGTCCTTCCACAGTGGGGACATTGGTTTCCAGGCAGGAGTTGATCACGGTGTGGATTTGCCAAGCGTGCTTTTCTCTTAGCATGTTTCTCCCTTGCATCCTGAGTTCAAGTGTCTTCAAAGCCCATGACACCTTTGGTAAAGGCTGTTCTCCAATTGGAGCACTCGCAGGCAAGTGTTTCCCAATTGTTGGTGTTTATACTATATTTTTTAAAATTTGCCTTGAGACAGTCTTTAAACCTCTTTTGTTGACCACCAGCATTACGCTTTCCATTTTTAAGTTCGGAATAGAGTAGTTGCTTTGGAAGATGATAATCAGGCATCCACACAACATGACCAGTCCAACAAAGTTGATGTTGAAGAATCATTGCTTCAACACTGGTGTTCTTTGCTTCTTCCAGTACACTGGTATTAGTTCACCTGTCTTCCCAAGTGATGTGTAAAAAATTTTGGGGACACCATTGATGGAATCTTTCAAGGAGTTGGAGATGGCATTTATAAGTGGTCCATGTTTCACAAACATACAGTAAGGTTGGCAGTACAATAGCTTTGTAAACAAGCATTTTGGTTTCCCTGCGAATGTCCCAGTCCTCAAACACTCTGCACTTCAATCGGGAGAAAGCCGCACTCGCAGAGCTCAGGCAATGCTGGATTTCGGCATCAATGTTGGCCCTTGTGGAAAGTGCCCACCACACAAACACACACATGCACAAACACACACACACTATAATTAGTGTATAATTCTATTGATTTTTATGGCACTAAGGGTTGTACTTAATGCTGAATGAATGGAGTTCCAATCATTGCTCATGCAATGGGGCTTCCCCTTCCTCTCCATGTGTGTCCCTCCAAATCTGCTCCTTAGGGTCCCCCAACCTGCCAGGTTAGATCTGGAGGGTACAAGGGGGCTGCATTGGAGAAGAGAGGAGAGGAGAGAGAAGTTCTGTTGCACATGCAGAAGTCTGTTGCACAAGCGGGATGGCAGTGCTTGACAGAAACCTACACAAATAAAAGCAACTTTAAAAAAAAATGCACAGAAACTCACCCTCAGGCAAGAAAAGGTTTGGTTTAAATTTATTTTGATAGATTATATTATTGGAGAAAGGGTATGGACTGAACTCAAATCTTTCTTCTGCCCTCCCTCAGAAACCACTAACTAGCATCGCAAACTTGGCAAAAGGATGGGGGAAAGGGCTTTAAAAAAATAAATAGGGGAAAGCTCAGTAAACATCTGTGTTAGCCGAACTGCTGAATGTTTGTTAACCAGTAGAGCAGGCAAACTGATCAATAGTGCAAAACAAAGGAGCCCAGGTACAAATGTGTTCTCGTACCTCCATTTCAATAAATTATCTGGGCTGGAAGGACAGGGGAGGGTTCTTCAGAACAATCATTTTGGGATCAAGAACGAAATCATGTCAGCCCACATCTTGATTTCTGCAAAAACCCGGCAGGAATTATGAGGCTTAACAGCCTCCCGACAATTAGCATATGATAAATACAAAAAACGATATATTAAAGCAAGAGGAGGAAAAGGCCAGCGTTTTACACCTACAGTAATATAATTCCACTACTTAATGCAAAGTAACAGGCATTAGAGTGTTTGGGATCCTCTTCTATGGTGTTATCTGCTCTATCAGTAAATGAGACTATGTGAACAGTACAACCTATAAATAATTCAAGGCCTGAGATGGCAATTATAGAGCCATGCACAACCAGCATGAATATTTTATGAAGGCTAAAACAGCCCTCAGAATGAATCATGGAGAGATGAACACACACACACACACACACACACACACACACACACACCAAGTATTGCTTCCAGACATGCCTTACATCTGAGCCTTAGAATACGCACACCAAAAAAAACCCCACCCCAAAACACTGCTACCCTGAAAAAGAGAAATGGCATTCCTTTTTTATTATTTGATAAAGGAATAAATAACATTCAATAAAATGTACTGAGGGGAATGGAAGGGGAGAAATGGATAAAAAAGGGCAACACCTCTATCTATCTGTAAACCTCTCTCTCGAGTGCAAGACAAGGTTGGTGAGAACAGACTCTTCCTTTCTGCACTAAGAACAACTTTTGCGACGCATATGGACTTTTAAGCATGCAACTCCTGTCGGTTTCGGTGGGAGCTGCACCTGGAGGACAGCAGCTCGAGGCAGTAAATCTCCTGCCCCACTGAGAAACTGAACATCAGTAGTGAACCAGCTTTTTATTTTAGATCTATTGACTGTTATAAGTTGATTGATATAAATTCAATAAATGATCATAATCATAATTGATTGAACTAGTGGACCAGCTGCCCGGGTAATTAGCTGATGCTAGAAGTAGAGTCCCACAGTATAATTCTTGAATAGGGATGGTTTGGGTCAATAGTTTCTGAGAGTGCAACGTCACACTTGTATCCCTGGTCTGTGACTGTTTTGTGTGATCTGCACTTTATTGGGAATCGCTTTTGCGCTCAAGCTGCGGTGTCCACACAGCAGTCTTTGGCATGCACACAGGGTACCAATGAGGATTTCAAGCCACCCTTTTCTTGGGTGCAATATAAGGCTGGTGAGAATAAGCTGTTCATTCCTGAGATGCCTGCTTGGGTGTCTGCTCTAAAGATATGGTGTAGTCTCCTCCCTTGCTTTCCAGCTATACCAGAGATACAACAAGCAGTACAGACACAGCCTGCTCCTGATATATCATTGCCATCTTGCCTTTCCTCCCTGGACTTGTCAGTCTCCAAACCACCTTTTACTCAGCATGCAAGGAGTTGTTGGTGCTGCCATCAAGCCAATCAAAAGAGAAGTGAGGAGACATTGGGCAGGTGGCAGCACTGAGGCCCACCTGAAAGTTGCCCAAGGCCCACTGTTTGAAAAATTTCAGGCTTAGATCTCAAACACACAGAGAGAGAAAGAGAGAGAGAGAGAGAGAGAGAGAGAGAGAGAGAGAGAACTTGTATTGCACCACTGAGTCTGAGCAGCCATATTCTCATTTATTGACAGTGCATCAACATTTTGCTTACCATGATGCTTACTTAGAGATGCTTCCGACATTTGACCAGGCTTGAAGAGGCAAGAACCATGAGTGGTTTGCACTCCCTATTCTCCCCCAGACATTTGAACCTCCAAAGTCACTCTAACAAACAACGTAAAGAACAATAATGCATGGTTGTTATAGAAGGAGGCAGATGCTACAATCAAAGAACAATGGCTGAAATCATAGGATCAGTCCTCTGCAGCAAGGTCATGGGGTCACAGAGAAAAGCAAGACTATGAAGGATCCGAAATTGTGACTTGGTTCACAGAGACTGCTGCAATTTTGTGGTTTTGGCAAACACGACGAGCAATTGTTTCAGTTAGTTTGTGGCTGCCACCATGGGAGACATGGGGGCTAGCCTTTATGCCTCAAGACTGAGGGATTGCAAAATGAAGGATCATCAAGCTAAGACGGTGTCATTTAGGGTGCACACTTAGCAAAGTAAATGCCAGCAATGCCAGTCACTTAAGGGTGAGTTACACAACATCCTTGGACACTGAAATCTGAATGGGGGTGGTGGTGAAGAAGAAGGCTATAATAAGACTGGAGGCAAAGAACAAGACAAGCTTGATGAATAGTTAAAGGAATCTGAAAACTAGGAAAGGGAGAAAGTATTGTTGAGTGCTATAAAAGGCTTGCTTTGGAATGGTGTGTGGTAGAAGAGAGGGTCCTTTAACTGTAGGCCCACGAACACGTTTTCCCCTCAAGAAGTCCCCTTCTGCCACTACTCATTTTCTCCATCATTAAAGAATCTGCTAGATGGATGCAGAGGAGGAAATCCAACTGCTTTCAAATATTGTTCCTACTATTGATAGGAGTGAGCATGGAGTAAGATTCTGATCAGATTTAGTGAAGCAATGAATATGCAGGAAAAACACTACAGAGATGCTAGCAGTAGTACTAGTGAGCTATTAGAATATGTGAAGTGTTGGCACATTTCCGTTTCCATACTTATTAATGCTTTCTTTTTCCTCTTCTGGTTTTTACCAAAGTGACACAGTTTAGAGATACGGAGATATGCAAAGTGGTTTTTTAAACCATATGCATACACAGAAATGAATACTGTAACCAAGCACTGTTGATTTTACAGCATCCATGCAGTGAAGAGCATCTGGGAAACAGAATTAAATATTGGGAAAGTTGTGGATTGGATTCAAGGAGTGTAATCGGCAAGCAGGCATTTTCCGATGTAAACTCTGTGTGCAGTGGTGGGAAGGAATGCATATCATCAGACCACAAATAAAAAGAAAATACCCTACTAATTGCAAGGCTGTATCAAAGTCACGAAGTACGTCAACTGATTTGATGTTTGCATATTTTCTGTACTTTCTGGGTTTCTGCTTGGATCTCAGTTTAGGCATTTCACAATACAAGGTGGGGCGGCGCATTCAAATGAGGGGAGAAACCACAGGCAACTGGCATAAATGTTGAGTTTGTTTATTTGCTTAACATAATCAAACTTTTTATCCACTTAATTAAGAGTTGTGATAGCTTTTTTTA